GAGAAAGAAACCCTAAAAATCCAAGATTCTCCAATCAAGGCTCCTGAAAAAGAAAAAAAGAGTGACATCGACCCTTTGAATATATGCCTAAGAGGAGACAAAATGTGTGACAATGAACAATAGACCTAAAAGAGGAGAAAGAGTAACAATGACGCTCTGAATTGCTGCTTGAAAGAAGATGAGAGGTGCCACCACGCACAATAGAAAAGGGAGAAGATCAACCACTTTGAAAGGCATTGAAAGCATGTAGGAGCTCCGATGAAGGCATGGTTGAAGGCATAGTAATTGCGTAGCTAAGACGATAAAAAATTGTGTGGTTGTCGATCAAAACTGGAACTTCAGCGACAACGATAATAGACAATGTTGTTGGGGGCAAGAACGACGAATGCAGTGATAAAGGCGACAAAATCTTTTACAAACTAGGCTCTAGATACAATGTTTAATATAGTAAAATTATATATAGGATTAATCTCTCTTGTGTTGATATATACATATGATGCTTTATTAATAATAGAAAAAATATGGACTAAACCTAAAATACAAATAAATATAATAACAAAGTAACTAAACATAACAAATAAAGATAAGATAAAATAACATATTTAACATGATGAATATGAACCAAATGATCTAACTCATTCACATAAAAGATTAATTAAAATTTGAGTTTGACAATTATGTATGTAATCTCACATGAACCAACGTAGTTCAAAATGCAATGGCCATTGTCATCTCTAAAAACATCACACAATATTATACTAAAATGTTTATTAAAAATGTGAATTTTAATAAAAATTTCAGTACAACATTTATGTAAAAGTAAATTTGGTCTTGATGGAAGATTGCCTCGAGGAGAAGACCGATTGGCACAACACGAGCTAGATTGAGTTTCATCGAAGCTTCCTCAACAAAGAACGCGCCGGAATGAACAAAAGCTCAAAGGAGATTGGAAGAAAACCCTAGGCGTGAAGGGAGAATACGAATCCGAAAGCGAACACTCCAAAACTGAGAACGGACTCACGAAAACCCTAGGATATAGGTTTTGTTTGGTGGATGTTGAATGTTTGGAGGTGGAAGAGGATTTAAACGGTTATTAAACCCTAGAAGATGAATAACAACCTAGATGAATCGATTAAATGGTTGAAAAGTGAGATTGATCGGTGGAAAGGCTATTTAATCAATGGAAAAAGGTTTAATCGGTAGAAAATTGTGATCAATCGGTGAGAAAGGAGGAAAACATAATGGAATAGGTTGTATGGTTCGGTAAGGTAGGAAATGATGAAGAAGATGATTGAACGTTGATAAAAATGGAAGATGTGGATCTTAGTTGTGATAGCTAAACCTGAAAAGTAAAATTGTGAACGAAGAACTCTCGAGAGAGAGTGAAATGTAGTTGTGGTTGATGTGAGAGAGAACGCGGAGATGTGTTTCTCGTATGAAGGCTCGAGAGCGAAATATGATTGAAGACATGGTTGAGGAAGTATGAGTGGTTGATGAAGTATGCCACAGAAGATGAAGTGGATTTGTTGGAGCACAACGTCGTGAAGGAGAGAGAAATTCTATGGAAGCACAATGGAGAATGGAAAAATAACAGTGAGGAAGTGTGCTTTGAAGGTGGCTAGAGGAGAATCTCTATGATTCTTTAGCCTCGACTTTCAAGGAGGAATTTATTCTAGGTTTCAAAAAATTAATTCTCATTAATCTCAAAAGTGTCTAATACAATGGTAAGGCTGGGTAATTATAGTAATTCATGCTTCATGCAAGCTAAAATGACATACAAAAACCTAGAAAAATACAAATAGAAGACATTGAGGAAGGTTCATCGAACAATATTCCATCATGTCTTAAAGAGGAAAAAATTGGGACTGAATTGAATAAACTTAACAAAAAATTGGGATTAAATTGATATTAATACTAACTTGATACTTGTGACTAACATTAACTTAACATGTGATAATGACATTGACACTGACAGTGTCATGGAACATAATGTTGACTTGACATGTAGATAATATTTTTTAAAATTAAAAAACCACTAACGAAGACACATGAAACACACAATTCACCTTTCGTTAGTTATTTAAATGCCTTTTAAAAAAACATAATTGACGAAAATTAAGACTTTTTTAATAAAAATAATAATCACATAGAACAAAAAACTAATTTAGTGTTAAAGAGGAATAAAAAAAATAAGACTAAATTGAATAAATTTAACACAAAATTGGGAATAAATTGAAGAAATTTATCAAAAATTTAGGACTTAATTAAATATAAAACATTAACATATGATACTAGTACTGACTTGACACATGTGACTAACATTGACTTAACACGTAATACTAACATTAATTCTAATAATGTCATATCATATGACATAATATAGACTTAACATGTGAACAATTCATTTTAAAATAAAAAATAAAAATACCACTAACAGATACAAGTTAAACATATTATTCTCCTTTCATTAATTATTTAAATATCTTTAGAAAAACATAATTATTAAAAATTAAGATTTTATTGAATAAAAAAAGTAATTACATTGAAAAAAAACTAATGTAGTATTTAAGCCAATAATTTATCATATCTTAGTTTATTTTATTAGAGTTATTAGCTAATCAATTAAAAAATTAAAATATATTTATATAATTAAATATAAGGGTTAAATATGTTTTAAATCTCTAAACTATTAAGCGAATTAAAGTATCTTCTCCTTAAAAAAACTTTAATTTTTTTATTTCTAAATTTTCATCTTACACCTCCAAAATTTTAACAATACCCAAATTTTAATAATACTTTTTTAGATAATGATACTATAATAATTTTTACATTCATTTAACAAAATATAAAAATAAAATGATTATAAAAATGTAAAATTTTATATTTTAAAAAAATAACGAATATAATAAGTTTAAGTAGGTGAAATATTCATTGTTTATACTTTTTAATTCATAATTATCGACTTTTAAACGTAGATTAAAAAATTTAATTAACCGCATCGAAAGCCTGTTAAGTTTTTTTTTAATGCATAATGTCTAAAGTTGAATGGATCTTACTTTTGAAGTGCTGACACGACACACCATCAACATTAAAGACACTGACTGTAACCACTTCATCCCAGAAATAGGTGAAGGAATTTATTCTCCCAGTCTCTGTCAGTATCCTCAACTTCAAACTTAACATTCTTACCATGCTGGTTAGGTTATTTATTTCCTATCGTTATTATCACTTTAAACTTTTACCAATGTTATTCAATGATGAAATTTAAAGAGTATTTAATTTCAAATGAAAAACAAAAGGGTGTTTTACCAATTAAATGCTTTATGTTTTTTCAAAATATGTTTAAAATGTTTTAGATTAAAACTCAATTATTAAAAAATAATTGATGACTAAAGTATGTTGATTTAACTTACTGAATTGTAATAAAGGAAAAAAAAATACTTATCCTCACATAATACTTTTTATTCATTTCAAAGTTTACATGAAAAAAATATATGTTAAAGTATTTAATTTCTAGTACTTAGTTATTATAATCTATAATAAAATATTGATTTTAACTATGTTTTTAATTCCAATTGTTATATTTTTTTTCAAATTAAAAAATACATCTTAAAATATCTTTTAACAAATTTAAAATAAATAAAAGTTATATTTGCTAAGTCTCTATCCAACAAAGGGAAAAGAAATAGAAAAAGGAAAGAAGAAAAATGTGAAAAATAAAATCAAAATAAAGATTGTTTAGTTAAAGAAATACAAAATTGAAAAAAAGATGATATTATAATGTTGTAACTGTTGCAATATAAAAAATCAAATATTGAAAAAAAGAATAACTTCATCTATCATTAATTTAGTGGAATCGGTTACGACATAGGGTAGAAAGCTTGATAGAACCGATTTCAAACTTTTGAAATCGATTACAGTTTTGGTAAAATCAGTTACACATCTTTCGTCTTCAACCTCATTGTTTTTCTTTACTGTCATGGAAGCTATATTAACATTTTGGTATCATTTTTAGGGAGTTCCAGAAAACGCTCAACAGCTCCTAAGCTTGATTAATAACTGGAAAGGTATTTCTTTGCAATGTCTGGAATCAATTACACCGGTATGAAATCGGTTCCTTCTTTTCAAATTCTCTCCTAGTATGCATGCACATCAACCAAAAGCTCAAGTTAAAAATGCAAGATGCGAAAATTACTCATTCGTGCAAATCATTCCTTTCACTTGCTTTTAAATAATTCAAAACGAACACAAATTTACCCGTAAATCTGTCTGCGATAAGATTTTCGTGAATAATAATTTCTCCATAAGCGAACACAGGGTTAACCTTATAATAGAGGGAGTGTGTCACCCTTGTCAGAAAAAAAATGACACATTTCAAAAAAGTGTTCACAAATGGGGTATTATGTCTGATCACCAACTATTCTAACCTTACAAGCTAGTTGATAGGAATTATCCATTCAACATTCTGAATTGCAGACAAGAGTTCTACATATTTTACACAGCATAATTCTATTTTTGAATTTCATTAACTACTCCAGAACATTGGAAGTTTACCACACTCAAGATAGGGACTTCTCCAGCTGTAATTACAAGAACATGAGACATTATTGCTCCAACCATATAGTACAAATGACAGCCATAGGAAATGTACTAGCAATTTCTTGCTAGTGAGTGAGTGGTTTTTTCTTCTTTTCACCATTCTTACTTTCCAAACAAACCCTAAATCTCAACTCCATCTTCAAGACAAACTAAAAAAACTGTGCCTATGATATGTGATGGTTTACAAGGGTAGCTTTAAGAAAGACATAATGAGACAAGAAACAGGATACATATAAAACCAAAAAATCTTCAAATTTATCATTGAACACAAGCTCTCATCATATTTACAGAACAGCACATAGCAACTCCCTAGTCATGTAGGATTACATCCAAGACAAAAAATCACTCAAAAAAGTATGAAAAAACTTGCAAAATTTACATCAGATACAAGTCTAAGGAAATTACTAAAGGAGAAATCAACATGTGTTGATGTTCACATGCTCATGCTTTCATCATATACTGCAGCAAAAGTTGTAGTTGTGACAGAAGACATGGTAGTGTCATGGTTGTCTGAAGAAGAGTATGTATCGTAGGTAGATGAATTCTTCACATAACTACTACTTTCTTCGTTCCTTCTTACTTTGAGGTCCATGAAATCAGAAATTAAGGCAGGTTTTGTTATCTTACTGTCATCAACATCTATTTTTCCAGTGAGCATCTTCACCACAGAAGACATTGATGGCCGAAGCTTTGGCGATTCCTGAGTGCAAAGAAGACCAATCTTCATAAACTTACAAGCCTGCTCGGCATCGAATTCCCCGTCAAGTGATGTATCTACCAGTCCCACCAATTCCTTTCTCTCATAAAGTTCCCAAGTCTGTAAGATCAGAAGCTAAAATAAGAGAAAATCCAGAAACTATGATCACACTTATGCAATGAAATGCCAATGCCCATGTGACATTGGAAGAATGAAACATGCATACCCTCTCTAGAAGAAATTGTTCTTCTATTGGTAATCGTGTGTTCGTGTTACATCTTCCACTGACTATCTCCACAAGGAGGACACCAAAGCTGTAAACATCTGCTTTCCTTGTTAGCTTCCCCCCTATTGCATACTCGGGTGCCAAATAACCTCTGAAATGAATCATTCATCAGCAAATTTCTCACATAAAATAATTGTTCACAAATTTTACATGATTATATGTAAACAGTCAAAGAGAAGCACTCTTCTATCTTAATAAACATACCCCAAGAATTGTTAACTTCCCTGTATAAATCAAAGTTCTTGAATTTTAAATTGAGGGAGAGGGATTAACAAGTATCCAAATTTGGAATTGGGAAGGCTGATTTGCAGTTTCAAGGGGAAACACAACAGCATAAAGATCTTCCAACTTTTTCAGTGATTGTAATTTATAATACTTACATTGTTCCTGCTACTCGGGTGCTAACATGAGTCATGTTTGCTGGAATAAGCTTTGCAAGACCAAAATCTGAAATTTTGGGTGTAAGATCTTTATCAAGGAGGATGTTGCTTGCTTTTATATCCCTGTGAACAATATGAGGCCTTACTTCTTCATGAAGATAGGCCAGTCCACGAGCAATACCAATACTTATTTTACATCTTGTTCGCCAATCAAAGTACATTTTATTGTGATTTCCACCTATAAATAAAGAGATAGAAAAAATTGATTAAAAAAGATTTAGAGCAAGGTTGAGAGAGTCTAAGGCTAGTTTTAATAAAACTTTCATAGATGTATAATATGAAACATTCATGTGTTTTCACTTAACAATTTAAGCTTTTAATATAGTCTATGCATTATGCACATTTCCAACCCAAAAAGCACTTGTGTGAGGATGGGCATGTTAGAGATATAATACCCAAATTTATGTCTTCACCTAATATCTTAAGGTTATAAGGGATAGTTGGTTAGTGACAAAAACAAATCCATGTTCAAATCTTTCTAATCAAACACGTTTCATGCTAGTATTTGAATTATCTATATTGTTTGACACGTTCCCGCTTCAGTGTTAACTTGGAAACACATTTGACGTAATTGGAGTAAAAGGACTATATCCATTCATTTTCAAAGTTTGGAAACCAAATCGTATCAAAGTTTCAGACAGAGACGAATTCCAATTTTTGTCAAAATTTGGATACTAAAAACATATTTAACCATAAGTGAAAAAGAGAAAGTTACCCAAGCAAAAAGCAAAAATAGAAAAGAAAATAATTTACCTAGAAGAGTTTGTGACAGGCTATTATTCTCAAGGTAATTGTAGACTAATATTCTGCTATTTTTGTCAACACTGCAACCATATAACTTGACCAAATTTTCATGCTCTATCTCTGAGATTACATTAATCTCTGTCAAGAACTCCTTCACTCCTTGTCTTGATTCTGCTGCAAGAACTTTTATTGCAGCAACTTTTCCATCTTTAAGTCGTCCCTGATCATCCACCACAATAAGTTAAGTTTCATTATCAATGTTGTCCTCCACAAGAAGAAGGAAAAGACAATGATGAGAAAAATAGCTGAGATGACACATGCAGCATGGTCTNAAATCGGTTCCTTCTTTTCAAATTCTCTCCAAGTATGCATGCACATCAACCAAAAGCTCAAGTTAAAAATGCAAGATGCGAAAATTACTCATTCGTGCAAATCATTCCTTTCACTTGCTTTTAAATAATTCAAAACGAACACAAATTTACCCGTAAATCTATCTGCGATAAGATTTTCGTGAATAATAATTTCTCCATAAGCGAACACAGGGTTAACCTTATAATAGAGGGAGTGTGTCACCCTTGTCAGAAAAAAAATGACACATTTCAAAAAAGTGTTCACAAATGGGGTATTATGTCTGATCACCAACTATTCTAACCTTACAAGCTAGTTGATAGGAATTATCCATTCAACATTCTGAATTGCAGACAAGAGTTCTACATATTTTACACAGCATAATTCTATTTTTGAATTTCATTAACTACTCCAGAACATTGGAAGTTTACCACACTCAAGATAGGGACTTCTCCAGCTGTAATTACAAGAACATGAGACATTATTGCTCCAACCATATAGTACAAATGACAGCCATAGGAAATGTACTAGCAATTTCTTGCTAGTGAGTGAGTGGTTTTTTCTTCTTTTCACCATTCTTACTTTCCAAACAAACCCTAAATCTCAACTCCATCTTCAAGACAAACTAAAAAAACTGTGCCTATGATATGTGATGGTTTACAAGGGTAGCTTTAAGAAAGACATAATGAGACAAGAAACAGGATACATATAAAACCAAAAAATCTTCAAATTTATCATTGAACACAAGCTCTCATCATATTTACAGAACAGCACATAGCAACTCCCTAGTCATGTAGGATTACATCCAAGACAAAAAATCACTCAAAAAAGTATGAAAAAACTTGCAAAATTTACATCAGATACAAGTCTAAGGAAATTACTAAAGGAGAAATCAACATGTGTTGATGTTCACATGCTCATGCTTTCATCATATACTGCAGCAAAAGTTGTAGTTGTGACAGAAGACATGGTAGTGTCATGGTTGTCTGAAGAAGAGTATGTATCGTAGGTAGATGAATTCTTCACATAACTACTACTTTCTTCGTTCCTTCTTACTTTGAGGTCCATGAAATCAGAAATTAAGGCAGGTTTTGTTATCTTACTGTCATCAACATCTATTTTTCCAGTGAGCATCTTCACCACAGAAGACATTGATGGCCGAAGCTTTGGCGATTCCTGAGTGCAAAGAAGACCAATCTTCATAAACTTACAAGCCTGCTCGGCATCGAATTCCCCGTCAAGTGATGTATCTACCAGTCCCACCAATTCCTTTCTCTCATAAAGTTCCCAAGTCTGTAAGATCAGAAGCTAAAATAAGAGAAAATCCAGAAACTATGATCACACTTATGCAATGAAATGCCAATGCCCATGTGACATTGGAAGAATGAAACATGCATACCCTCTCTAGAAGAAATTGTTCTTCTATTGGTAATCGTGTGTTCGTGTTACATCTTCCACTGACTATCTCCACAAGGAGGACACCAAAGCTGTAAACATCTGCTTTCCTTGTTAGCTTCCCCCCTATTGCATACTCGGGTGCCAAATAACCTCTGAAATGAATCATTCATCAGCAAATTTCTCACATAAAATAATTGTTCACAAATTTTACATGATTATATGTAAACAGTCAAAGAGAAGCACTCTTCTATCTTAATAAACATACCCCAAGAATTGTTAACTTCCCTGTATAAATCAAAGTTCTTGAATTTTAAATTGAGGGAGAGGGATTAACAAGTATCCAAATTTGGAATTGGGAAGGCTGATTTGCAGTTTCAAGGGGAAACACAACAGCATAAAGATCTTCCAACTTTTTCAGTGATTGTAATTTATAATACTTACATTGTTCCTGCTACTCGGGTGCTAACATGAGTCATGTTTGCTGGAATAAGCTTTGCAAGACCAAAATCTGAAATTTTGGGTGTAAGATCTTTATCAAGGAGGATGTTGCTTGCTTTTATATCCCTGTGAACAATATGAGGCCTTACTTCTTCATGAAGATAGGCCAGTCCACGAGCAATACCAATACTTATTTTACATCTTGTTCGCCAATCAAAGTACATTTTATTGTGATTTCCACCTATAAATAAAGAGATAGAAAAAATTGATTAAAAAAGATTTAGAGCAAGGTTGAGAGAGTCTAAGGCTAGTTTTAATAAAACTTTCATAGATGTATAATATGAAACATTCATGTGTTTTCACTTAACAATTTAAGCTTTTAATATAGTCTATGCATTATGCACATTTCCAACCCAAAAAGCACTTGTGTGAGGATGGGCATGTTAGAGATATAATACACAAATTTATGTCTTCACCTAATATCTTAAGGTTATAAGGGATAGTTGGTTAGTGACAAAAACAAATCCATGTTCAAATCTTTCTAATCAAACACGTTTCATGCTAGTATTTGAATTATCTATATTGTTTGACACGTTCCCGCTTCAGTGTTAACTTGGAAACACATTTGACGTAATTGGAGTAAAAGGACTATATCCATTCATTTTCAAAGTTTGGAAACCAAATCGTATCAAAGTTTCAGACAGAGACGAATTCCAATTTTTGTCAAAATTTGGATACTAAAAACATATTTAACCATAAGTGAAAAAGAGAAAGTTACCCAAGCAAAAAGCAAAAATAGAAAAGAAAATAATTTACCTAGAAGAGTTTGTGACAGGCTATTATTCTCAAGGTAATTGTAGACTAATATTCTGCTATTTTTGTCAACACTGCAACCATATAACTTGACCAAATTTTCATGCTCTATCTCTGAGATTACATTAATCTCTGTCAAGAACTCCTTCACTCCTTGTCTTGATTCTGCTGCAAGAACTTTTATTGCAGCAACTTTTCCATCTTTAAGTCGTCCCTGATCATCCACCACAATAAGTTAAGTTTCATTATCAATGTTGTCCTCCACAAGAAGAAGGAAAAGACAATGATGAGAAAAATAGCTGAGATGACACATGCAGCATGGTCTAGTTTACCTTGTAGACAGAACCAAAACCACCCTCTCCAATTTTATTGGCTTGACTGAAGTCATCAGTGGCATTTCTTAATTGTTTGTAGGAGTAGAGTTTAACATTATGAATGCCTGAAATATTTATAACAAATCAGTTAATATCTAAGATTCAATTCAGAACCTGATATTGAATTAAAACCTAATATTGTAAGTAGACTTTTATGAAACTATTATATAACAGATAACAGATAACATATATCCCAATTCAAGAACACAATCATATCACTGGAAAAAACAAATTTAAAAAACAATACGATGCCTTCTTTGTATATCCTACTTTAATTGGTATAACATGTAATCAAGTTACCTTCACCAATTTCTGGGTCTTTTCTTGCTGAAGATGATGACTTACTGGAAAATAAAGGAAAACAAGTCATAGCTAAATGAAGTATAAGGAGCTTCAAAAGTCAAATAGTATCACTTGCTTCCAATGGTCACCTGGTTGAACCATCAAAATGTGTTAATGTTTTGAAGAGTAATAAAGTGGGAAGAAAGTACGTACAATTAATTGAACATGATGAAAGATAATCCAAAGCAATTTCATTATTTCCATAAGATGTCTGAGATAAGAAAACTAATCACTGATACCAAAACTCAAGTTTTGCCACAAATGTTCTCAAAGCCACACCATAAGACTTAAACAAATGCACAAAAATAAACAACTGACAGAATTGAACAAATGCACAAAAATAAAACAACTGACAGAATTGATCAAAAGCACAAATTCTCTTTATCAGTGCTGAAATCATGCCCTTTCTTCTCAATCCTTTGACAAATTTCCCATTTTTATCCATATCAATTTATATGCATCTCAATCCCTGATGAATTCATAAGTTTTACAAATATTGTTGCTTAACACTTGACAATGCAATACTTCAACCGAAAACCAAGCTTTTCACAAGATTTCCCAACTTCTCTGATCTAACCTCCAATTACTATGCATTGCATCCCAAGCTACATTACTTAGGAATCAAATTTTAATGATCTTCACACTAATTCAGTTTCTGCTTAGATCAAAGAAATCACTAATGAAAAACTGAGCTAAGTTCAATAGTCACAGAGACAGTATGAAGAAACCAAACTCAACCAAAAAAAAAACAAGAACTTTCCAAAAGAAAAAGAAATTGTTCATAACTACCATCCCACTCCCACAAACCAAAAGGATAAAAAGCTTGAACTTTCCCAGAGACAAAGGAGAAAAAAGAAAATACTACAAATCCATGATAAAAGGGTACTCAAAAACAAGCCAGAAAAAAAATGAATGGAACAAACCTCAGAAGGTGGGTGAAACGAGTAAAGAAGAAAAAAACAAAGATGAGTCTAAAAAAGTTGTGCTGAATACTCCGTTGAGAAAGCGTGAAGATGGGGTTGTGTTGTGTGGTTGTGTTGGTTTTATCAGAGGAATGTCCACGTCATGAGCATGATCATGATGCAACCATAAACCAACGCGTACTCGGTTTGAATCTTCTCTCTTTCCTTTTCGGACAAGAGTCAAGACCAAGACCGAGGCTGCTTCAACCAAACGGTGTTTTATAGTACACCAACCAACACATATGTTCATTCTCCTTTCACATTCTCAAATTGCTCCTTTTCACACTATCTATTACGCAGAAGCTGTGAATAATTTTTCTTTCTTTCTGGAAATAAATTTAGTATCTTTATGTTTCACCTGTACGAAAGTTCGTACTTTGTGGGTTCTATGTTTTATGTTACTTGCACCCTTTTTTTAATTCTTCAGAAAGTTCAAACATAGATGAAAAACATGTGATTAGATGGATATTATATAAAATAACTTATGCGAAGGTTTACATAATTTAGGGTATGGCAGTTGTTGGAGACAACGAATGAAAAAGATAAAAAAAACATCTAATGCTATATTTTAATCCTTAATTTTCAGTTATATTGATCTTTGAACTTATGTTTTAATAATAAAATGATATTACAAAGCTTATTATTTAATCGCAAGACTTTTTGTAATAAAAAGCTAACATATACATTAGGTTGTTTCAATAACTAATTTAGCATTGTCTCATATATTTAATTACGAAATGGCTCATTTATCCAATGTTTTAGTAACAACTGCATCAAGTTGTGTTCCATCTAATATGGACAAAAAAGAATGAAAAAAAAAAGAACCCAAAGGGGGACCAAAGTTTACTTTCCCATGTGTATTCAGAATTCCTTCAAATTTTATTTTAGTTTTTCTGTTGTAACCTGCTTGTGATAATTTCTGATTTTTTTTTCTGAATTTTGTTTTTTGGAATTTATAAAAAATAATATTCACGTATCATCCTTAATTAAAGAAAGGCATTCATGTCATTTTCAAGTATGTCTTGCGTAGAAAAATAAAACATTATAATGCATTTTTATAATAT